TTCGGGTTTACACTGGATATGGGGTGTGTGGTTGGAGCTGTGGATGATGCAGCGCAAGCCACCCATGGTCTCTCTGTAGGCGCAGGCGTCCTGTGGCTGGCCACAGTGACAGGCAAATCCGAAACCGGATGCTGCCAACCATATATATATATATATATATATATATATATATATGTGGATGTAATTCGTTTGGCTCAGCTAATTCTTGCTCCTAGTTTTTCAAGCGCATTATGCCTGTTCAAGGGCATCCGTTCCGCACAGTGGTCGTCTTGCATAAATTTTCTGACCTCTGATTATGTTCATTATCCGTTGCACCAGGAAACAGATGAAGCTCACTGAATGCGCTCACTTTGGTCATCAACATCAATACGTGTTGGCTGGGGGTGAGAAACACACTCCAACTAATATATCGCAACTCACGTTGCTGTGCCCACTTTATCCGCCTTTTGTGGTTTTTTGGTGCATCTCTGGATAATAGCTCATGATGCTACTCTCCTCTCTAACAGCGCTCCTCTACTAGTTGCATTCAGTACGTCCTAACCCTTATTCTTCCAACGAAATCGTCCGTCGGATTTAGTCTCTGTCATTCGCACTTCTTCACATTCGACTGCCACCTTTCCGTCGCGGTGGCTGTAATGTTAGACCGTTTATGACGCGCTAGTCCCACCATGTCTTCTTAAAACCCGAATTAGCTTCTTGTGATTACTTTAGTTATGTGCTATTCTCCACTCCGTATCTCTAAGTTTTATAACTTACCTGTTTTTTGCCGAAGCTTATGCGCACTCGACATTGGCGCCACAATTTTATGTTCTACCTGATTCCCCTATGCAGCATCAGAACTTCTTTTTTCCAACCTTCAGTTTACTTGCGAAGCGGTTTGACACTCCACTCGATTATCTCTATTCTCGCATTACTTTAGTTCCGCGGGTTTCCGGTTTATTATCATCTGCTGACGAGCTCGATTCTGGACACGCACACTCATGTACGTGAGGTTATGGTCTATCCGGTAATCCACTGCTCCCGGTACCATTGACAAAGATCAGTTTTTGAATATTCACACACACACACACACATTCCACTTGACTTAGCAGTGATTCTTCACCAGCTTCGTTCGACCCAGGCGAACGCGGTTAATCGTTGTGCGAACTTTGAAACTGCATACTTGCTCGCGCAGTTTTCGTTCCGTTGATCCATACATGTCACTGCATATTTAGGTGACAAAGATCGCCATCTTATTTGTTCATTCAGCCACGATGTGTGTTACAGACTATGCCACGTTTGGGAGAATATTACGTTTCCTTGCCGTGTTCATTCACCCTATAACCACCAGCATCAGCGCTTCCGTGCGGTAACGCTCTGGTGTGTTGCTTGGCGTCAACACACGCACATTATTATCGAACAGCTTGCTCCAAACGCGCCACCGCAAGGTCCGTAAACTAAAAGGGCTAAGGTCAAAGTACCGAACATGCAAGTACGGCACATTTGCACTCCGTCTGCCGGTTGCCCCAATTAGCACTGACTCCCACGATCTTCGTCATAAATATCATCATTACACGTTAGCTGCGGGTGAGCAAATCACCTCAGCTACTGTGCCGCACAACAAAAAAGATATGCTACTACAAATTACAGACTACGGAAAAGTTCCAAAAGCGCACTATAATACTAAATATCATGTTATGCATTTGGGATGAGATCGTAATTGGAGTGGGAAGCTAAAGGGGAGGGGGGAAGGGCAAAGAAACTCATAGCATATGCACCAAACGTGTTTGTCTCTCTTGGGACCCCAGCGCGACAGTCAGGGTGCACCAACCGACACCAGTTTCGAAGTGATGGCTTTCATTCCTTTCAACCAGGTTATCGCTTGCCCCCCCCCACACTCTAGCGCGCAAACAACGCACGACGCGGGAGTCAGTATGCTAGCATGTGCAACTTGTAGCCAAGCCATCGGAGCCTGGTGCGTGATATACTCGTACTGAGCTGTTCACTCGCCCTTCCTGCACCAAATACGCGATGTCGAACGCATTCATCGCTCACGCGGTGCTCCCACCAGATATGAGCTAAGCTTCGAAGGCTTATCTGTAAAACATTGGGTCCACTTCAGCCACTTGATCAAAGCAGAAAAAAGACATAGATTGCGATATGTCAACATTTCGATTTTTCTCCTCAGTCGCGTACATAATACAAGCAGAAACACAGACACATTTATATACATTGGAAAATATTGGCACACCAATGAGACTGTCAAAATTAAGACCAAGTCAATCTGATTGATTGCCTCAATTAGGGCTTATCAACGTGTGCTATGTGCACGGAAACTCTTGAGGCAATCAAGCAGATTGCCTTGGTCTTGATTTTGACGTTTTGATTTATCTGCCAATTTTTTCCCATGTAGATATTTGTGTATGTGTTTCTGCTTGTATTCTGTACGCGACTGAGGAGAACAATCGAATGTTGACATATCGCAGTCTATGTCTTCTTTCTGCTTTGGTCAAGTAGCCTATTTGTGTCTATCGACCTGATGGGCCAGGCTTCACAGCCCTATAGGAGGATTGAACGGACGGCTGCATTATCGCTTCGGCGCCACAGGTGGCGGAGATTGACAAAAGCGCCTCGATCTTTTGCTATACGGTTCGTGACCTCATCTTCGATTTTACGGGCGCTAACATAGTTGCCCAGGTTTTTGAATTCCTGAATGATTTCTAGCTGATCACCAACAAGGGTCAACGCAGGAATGGGTTCCTGTCAATCATGGAAAAGAATTTTGCATTTCTCGGGTGCGAAGCAAAGCCCAAAACGATTGGCGGCCAGTGCTAATCTGTCTAGTGCTGCTTGGCACGTTCGCGAGCTGTCACAATATGGTCAGTGTCGTCCGCATACTCCAAGCAGTCGCTCACCAGGAAGTAGCTCCACACCTTGTTGGTTGTGTCACGCGGACATTGTTTCCATGACTTCGTCTATGGCGAAGGTATAAAGGAAAGGTGACAGTGGGCAACCTTGTTTCACACCGCTGGAGATATTGGAGGGCGGCGACAGTTTGCCAAACTTTCATTCTGTTCAAACTATGCGCATACAGCGCCCTGATTATGTTTACGTATCTATTGAGCAGATTTTTCTGAGCAGACATTCCCAAAGGACCATCTCCAGACAGGTGCGGCCGGAAAATGCATCTAGTGTCGCATGTGCGGGATCGCAGAGGAAGTACGGAGCTGGTGGGTTTCCGATAAGCAGCAACTATCAAGCGATAGGGTCCAGTGTTCAGGCAAGTGCTGCCTGTGGATCAATTTGTAACAAAGTGCACATGTTGAGACATGCCAGTGTTAGAGAGAACCGAGGGCTCCAAGGAGAAATGGATGAACTGACGTCTGTTTGTTTGCACATTTACTTGTTGACTAGACTGGAGCGACGGCCTTCGATCGCGTTGTGAGTTGAAACTAGAAGACAAGCACCTATTGAAGAAAGACGGGGGCGCGCCCAGAATTTGTTGGTTGAAAACTGTGGGGATAAAAGTGAAGTTGGTGCGGGACGATATTGATGCAAAAGTACTAAAGAGAGAATCAGAGGACGGGACGAACTGAGCAGTAGCATCCAAACGCCTATCCACCCGGCTCGATGCAGCAGATAGCGCCCCGTTGGTTATCCTCTGCGATAGCCAGAGTATCAAGGGCTTGTTTGAAGGAGAACTCGTAGTGTTCTATTACGTGAGCAGGATACTGGTCAGGTTACCCAGTTCTAGACAGGATAACGATTAGGGTTCTCAACCAAAGTCTTTGGTTCAAATACTTTACCGCAACTTGGCGGAATCTTGACCCTGGGCTACAGAGAATGCGTTTTATGGAGTAAGGAGCCTCTCTCACTCCAACCCCCAACTTGGAGGGCCAGATGACTGATTTTGTCCGGCCTTTAACCCTTAACAAATCTGGTCTGAGTGGCTCTGAAGGTGCTAAAGGCAATACTCAGCGTAGCTCATTGGATCACTAAGGCGCCCAAACCATCACACCACGTTAAGATCCAGTCTCGTCGCGATAGCGTAATAAGCTTTTTACTGTGTTGTCTAAGTTTTTTTAGTGTCGATGCTACTACTGCTGCTTCCTCATACCCAAGTGAGATTACGGCTTCTGGCGACTTATACCGATTTTTCCACATTGGATATATAACTGTCATCATCTTCATAAGTGCTATAAACTACAGCAGCAATGGAAATTATCACGTGCAAAATTGGGTACTACCAATCTGTACAAACTGTGGTAGGGGAATGATTATCGTCATTCACTGAAATATCTGGCTCAGTAGCCTAGCCGTAAAGCATTTGAACTTTGAGATGGGACTTTTGCACAGGATGCAGTGTCTTTTATTTCTCAATATCTGATCTGAAAAACCAGGCAACCTAACTATTTAATCTGTGAACAATGACCAATCTCACAATTCCTAATGTCCCCAGACTCCTATCTATCCTCTTTTGAATCTCGTCCATTCACGACGAGCCCATTGAACCCATTGTTTATTCATTTGTGTGCTCTTTAGCTTTTCGCGTTTTCTGGTACGGATTCCACTGTCACCTTTAATTAACTATTTGCACATTGGGTCAACGGATGACCCCAATTACATCTGACATCGCTTTGAGATCTGGCAGTTCGTTGTCTTCCACGTTGGCCAGAGCTGCGAGTTACCATCGTCGTGTGTACCGGTTGTTTCACATCTGTCGAATTAGTGTTGACTCGTACTTCCTACCGAGTCAAGTTTTAATAGGACCACTTACCCTTCCGTCATGATATTCCGATGTTCCTCCAGTGGAATTCCCTTGCGAGGATAGTCCGTGTTACTCGCACACTTACTCCATGTACGCGGCGATGTTTTCAATCTTCGTGGAACGGGCGACGCAGTTTCTGTTGGCATCATCCTCATTGCGTAACCACTTCCCTTGTCTCCATTTCACGCACTCACAGACACAGTATTACTTAACACTTCTCACTCTCCGCTTTGCCCTTTGTGTTACAAAACAGCTGGCTTTGTTTGCCCATTTGCCGGCCACCAGCCAGTTGTTGGCCCAACATCTGTCCGCTCAAGTGCAGGCGAAAGAAGCCGAATGCCAAGTGAGTCTCTCCGTATCGTGGTTCCATCGTTCAAGTATTCCCATGTCTATTGGTCAACAGTTGGCTGTATCTCGATTTCTTTCTCCTCACTACCCTTCCCTTTGTGGGCGAGTCACCAGCACCTTGAGCATGTGCTTGAACGGTATCCTTGTTACACGCTGCTTCGTGGTTGCCAGTTTGTTGCACCTGTTCACTGTGGGCAGACGCTTCGATCACAAGCGTGTATCCTTCCACTCGTTGTCCCTGTAGATTTATGGTCATGACCAGCTTACCAGTGATGACGATCTGTCTGTCTGTCGATCAATCTGTCTGTCTGTTTGTCTGTCTATTCATTTGCCTGTCTATCCAGTTTCCCATGGGCTTTCTGCCTCTCCACTCATCTGTCCGCGCGGGTCTCAGTACTTTATTGCTTTCCGCACACTCTTGGCATGTTTCCCGTCGGTGTGCTGATAACAATCAACGAGGTTGCACAAAAATAGTTCACAACACGATGAAGGGCTGGCCAGTTGAATCACCGAACGGAGGAACAACCAGGTTGATTGTGTCGGTGGGCCCAAATGACCTCACCGCGTCACCCCAGCCAATCCCCCCGACTCCTTGTAGTCCAACAGATGTGGTTGAGGCATGCATTGAATCGAATCAGTTTTTAAGTGTCACCTACAACGCCGTCGCGCAACGAGGCACGATTTTTTCGAATATTATACACTTAGCTAGTCGGTTCTCATATATGCATTGGTGTCGCACGTATATCCACTACAATGCTGAAAGCTATGCTACTTTGGCTTCACCCATCTTTGTACATCTGTCACGTGTAAGTACTCATTTGTGTTGTACACTGTTACTTATGAATGGAAGGATTTTGGTGAGTATTTTTGTTCGTCGCAAAAATACTTACCAAAATCCTTCCATTCATAAGTAACACCAATTCGCCCGTACGGATTCTACAAAATGCTATGTCGATTCATAGCTGCCGTAACCGGGAAGTCCTGACGCCGGAAGGCCGACCGCTGTCATCTGCATGGCAGGTGCCTGCATGGCAGTGGAGGATGCGTCGGGCTATATCGCATTTAGCTAACAATTCATGATAGTCAGATACCGTCCTCCATGGCGCAGTTGCATAAGCTGCGGGCTAGTTGGCAAGAGCCACTAGCAGTCATGGGTTCGATCCTCCGCAGAGGACCGAAGGATGCGCACCACTGATGAGCCCCAACAGGGCGAAACGGCCGTCTGGTGCTTTTCCGGATAGCTGGTCGACATATCTGAATTTTTGGCTGGTTGTACGCTGTGTTCGGATTCCTTCCCACACACCTATTAGGTGAACAGAGTACTGATTTTCGCCGTCACGACAGGACTGAACAATGTAGTGCGATGGTTTTCGTACCTCGAAAACCCATTATGCTTGATGGTGCACTCTCAACGTCACTCATACCTGATTGGTCAATGGCTATAGGCCAGACTAACTTCGTATCTTGGTTCTCCAGATTTGTTTTTTTACGTGAAGATGGCTCCTAATCTCTTAAAGTGGACTATTTGTAGCCTACCTCAAATTTCCGCTGCCTTGCAGTCAGCTTTTGAATCAAAAGCCTTGGTTTGGAACTCTAATCGCTCTCCTGTCCAGGCTTGGGCAACCTGATAGTATCCCGCTCACGCAATGCAATACAATGCCTCTGTCTTCAAACAATTTCCTGATGCTCTGGCCGTCGCAAAGGATAATAAATAGCGTCCTATCTGCTGCATTTAGCAGAATGGATAGGGGTGAGGGTGATACTCATCCGGCTTTCTCATCTTTCTCTTTACGCTCTTTCGTCCTTATTGTCCCCTTCCAACCACTTTAATCCCGCCTTTTTCAGCCCCCAGTTTTTTGCCCTCCCCCATCTTTCTTCCATAGTCGCTAGTCTTCTTGTTTCAGCTCACATGCAATCGCAGTAGGTCGTTCTTGCTCTATCCTCAAGTCCATGTTCAACCATATGGACAGCCTCATTTCAAGCATTTCCTCAACGCGGGCACTTTATTGAACGTTGGTCAACAGGCAATACTTGCCCGAACATTAGAGACCCTATCGATAGATCGAGTTTTGTGCTCACTCTACGGTCCCCTTTATGTGATACTGGTAGCTTTTTCAGTGTACCTATCCTGGAGATAACTCACCTTCGAATGCCAATTAGATCGGTGTTGGTGTTCTTCTGACTCCCCGAGCTGAAGCTGCCCTGATCCATTGGAGCTCAGCGAACAGCCGGATATGCGCCGTCATATTGCTTGACTCTTTCAAAGCTCCGAGTCACACAGTGACAACCGGTACATGTTTGTCATCGCGGCCTACGCCCCGACAAACTGCTGCACTAACTCGGTCACCAATTGAATGCACTCCTTAGTTACATAAAAGTAGGGATACTGTAGTGCTAAATCGTGATCTGAACGCACAAAGTTGGAATGTTGGCCAATGATGAGCTGCATCTAGGCGACCAACACGGTGTAGATTCCTGCGATGATGACCATGGCAGGTAGCTGCAATTTTCGGATGACGCTCGTCTATTTCTCGCGAGCACTAACTTCCAACAAAGCACGCGGTGGAGTTTGATATGGCGCCCAACATCCACGAACCAATCATCGACGCAGATCGATTGAAACGCGAACAGTTACCATTGGAGAGGTTAGGTTCAAAATTGTCGTCTGATTTGGAGCTCAAATATTGCCTCCGACTATGCAGTTTTACCTTCTGATCTCCAGTTCCGAAACTGGAGTGCATGGTTACATGTCAGTCGACGAACGCAGATGTTCTGCATCTTTTCTGACGAACACTGTCATCTGAACAGAGTGCACGCTTACTGAGCACGGTTGGAAGTCACTTGTCGCATGGTCACCAAATGCTGTTATCAGCGGGTATGTTTTCGTGCAAAAAATTCATTTACGATCGTCGATAATGGGTCTTGACGCAACCACTGTATTTCCTCTATGCTCACCGGCGCACTCGACGGTGAGAGTTGTATAGTTGCGTATTACCTCAAGAGCGATATATATATATATATATATATATATATATATATATTGTGGCTGTGTTGCTCTGGTCGAGCCGATTCCTGGGGCCGTAGATAAAGGCACACCTCTTGGGAAAATCGGGCTCCCTTTCATGTTGTCTCTTGTTCTTCTGGGCGTGGCCGAGGTATCGTTTGTCGCTGACGACCCATTTCCGGCTTGCATCGTAGGCCATGAGCTGGGTTGACGATTCCCGTTCCCAGTCTCCGCGTTGGTACTGATCTCCTGCTGCTTCCAGGGCATTTCCGTGTGAACCGAGATCCGCGCCGCCACAATATAAATGGTATCAGTGATTCGACGAGGTTTAGAAGGAGCAGTTCGCTATCATTGGCACAAATGTCCAGAGTTTGCCGAACACAGATCCATGCAACATAAAATTTTTAAGCCATTTTGTATGAAGTTGTGAACCGCACACCAAGACTGAAAGTTAGAAGGATAGCAAAATGGGTAACGTATACATGAACGCACGTTGCTGGAAATATTGCCAGTCAGCACTGAGGGAAAATACCATTTTCTGGACCCGTGATTCAAAAACCAGCATTATACCACAAAAGAATTACAAAACACAGACTTTACATCTTCAAACACTTGGCTACAGGCTTTCAGCAGTAGACCGTCTTGTATCTGGTAAGCAATCGGGCGAAAGCGGTGACTCACATAGGTGTGCTGCATCCGACTAGGCAGAAAAATTGCTCGAAATATGTTCCGGCTACACAACTCAATACATTTTTAATTCACATGAAACTGTTTTGCTGTTCAGAACGACGTCAGATAAAGGTTTCGTGTAAAAGAATAGAAATGCGCATGTGAGAAAGGAATCAAGGCGCGTATTACAGTTCTGCAGTGCACTACCACATTGGGGGAGCGAGAACCGACTGCAGTGATTTGGAAACCAGCTAAATCTCGAATTTTAGAAGTATCAACATGAAAAACTACCGGCAGTTTACCAGGATAATAAAAAGCATGGATGACTGCAGCTATTTCCGAAGAATTAACAGCGAAAAACAGAAAAATGCAACATCATACCTTCTCTCGACAAAGACTTTGCGCTCCCTAATTCCACCTACTTAATATCAAATTGTGATTCCTGTCACCACCACCATCCTGTTACTTCAACCGTACGATCAGGATGTCATACAAGTGCCAAAAGCGAAGTTCAGAGAGAAACAGCTTCTCCATATTATAACGATCATGGAATCCCACAAAGATATGTCCGGAACTGATTTCTTGTAACGAGTAGATTTATTAGACGTCATGTTCTACATAACTTCTACCTAGAATGAAGTGCCGAACTCAAACATCTCTGTTTTTTAAATCGGGCTTTCCTTGTACTGCAGAGATAGATACTGGGGGAACAATGCAAACTTGACCGGAGACAAATGAGCAAGTTGTGCCTCCTACAAACACAATTGCCATGGATACTCTCTCAGATTAATTGTTTGGATGCAGACTGGCTGACAGCCATCTGATTGCTTCTTCTCTTCAAACAATCACACAACAGAAATAAACTGGGACCTGCCAAAAAGCTCAATTTTCGCAGCTGCGGATGTGAATACTGAATCAGACTACCTGCAGGAACAGGATTCTACAAACGTTCTGAAAACATAGACATTCACAGACGCACAGGGTGAAGTTGATATTTCGCGCTCCTACGCAATACATAGCGAATACACTGGCAAGCTTACACATCTTCTGGACGTGATGAAAAAAATAAATTCCTTTCCTTTCAATTGCCAAGCAACAGAACACTATATTTGATATTTTTTCGTCTGGTGGGTAGTGATTACGACAATAGCAATGTGTGCGCGATTTTTTAAAGGTTGTGTATTCCGACGATTTACAGGGCGGTTTCTAAACGGCTGACTCACAATCTGTGCGATTATCGCATTATTATTACTCATCTATCCCACACTATGTACCACTACTGAGTTTGCAAATGACGGCGGACTTGATAGTACGTTCGTGACAAACAACTTTGCCGGTGTTCTTCAAATAAAGTCACATTGAATTACGCGCAGATTGGCATTTCTGAAAACATAGCTGTGTGAAGCGGGGCGCTTTGCAGTGTCAGCAGCCGAAACAAAGCAATCCAATTATTTGCACCTAGGCAGCACACATCAAGCGTCATTGTCTCCAATTTCCCCCAGATGGAGCAGTCTCATTGCAGAATAACACGCTCATGGTTGTCTGTAATGTAGCGTTCTAGTGAGCC